GCCGAGAAATGATAGGAAGTGCCGACATCATGAGGTGTGTTTTCACAGTTAGGGGTTAGGTTTGGGGTTTAGGGTTTAGGGTTTAGGGTTTAGGGTTTAGGGTTTAGGGTTTTGGGTTTTGGGCTTTGGGGTTAATAAGGGTCTTAAAGTCTTGCCCACGGTCTCCACTGTAGTTCGCGTTATTGGCTGGGAACCGTGTAGCACAACACTAGGCAACCAACACAAGAAGTGCAATGAATACTACAGGTACCTTCCCTAAACCCTACACCCTAACCCTACAGGCACCTTGACAAGACCCTCGTCTATATTGGAGAACTACCAGTTTTCATGTCTCAGGGTGTCTGTAAGGGATCTTTAACAGACGCAGATCCCCGAACCGTGGCATACAGTTTAGCGTTTAGGGTGTACACCCTCGAATATGGCGGCGACGACCCAGACCACAACGATCACGACGACCCCCAACATGAATATGGAGTCTTAGAAGCTAGAATAGGTTTATCAGAATAGGCTTCTTCGGAATAAGATGGGAAGGTTGGCAACGTCAACGTCAGCCTACCTTTTGGGGGGTATATTCTGGCACAACTATGTTCAGGTAGCCTGAGACATGATGTTTGTAGTTCAGACCTCTATACGACCAGGACCCGCAGGACTGCGAGATTGTAGGAGTCCACTGAAGCCAACTTTCCAGTTAGCGTAATAGAGGCTAGACATTGTCAATACCTTTTTTGGAGTTCCTTCGCATAGTTATAGTATAATATACCCCANNAAACCCTATTCGAATTAGTAAGGCCCTTATATTACGGGGGCCCAATGTGTTGCCACACTTTTCGGATGAAAAAGTGTGGTCTCGGTAGCCTCATCGACACCGCCAGGGATGACACTTGACGGCAAACGGTATCGCCTCAGTGATTCCAATGGGGCATCTTGAATCACGCTCTCTTGGCCAAGCTTGTTTGCTCTGAGGTATGCAGTATGAGAACTTCTGTGCAAAAGAAAAGTAGCGCTAATTTGTGGATGGTTTGGGGGAAACCTCGAAACCCTAAACCCAGACCCGTTACATCCGAAAACCTGGTAACTGCAACTTATAAGCCCAGCGTAGTATACGCTGGGCTTACAACATGATCATCCACCTAGGAGCTCCACCTGAAAAATTGATTGCCAGCCCCTAAACCCTAAACCC